TCCTTTATTGCGTTGTGAGAAATAAAGTTTATATTATTAGTTTAAGTTACTTGGACTTTAAAGCATATTTTTTTGGCAAATTTGATTCTTTTTGGTTTTATCTTATTTTTTAAAGTATTGATTGTTAATTAAAATGTCTAAAAGTATGGTGTTTTAGTTTATTTATTTAATTTGAGAATTAAAATTAATTTAAAAAATATAAAAAATTACTCTTTTTTTTATATATGCACTCATTATACATCATTAATTATCTAACCATAAAAATTCATCTAAGATTCTTTAAAGCTAATTATTATTAATTTTTTTTAAAATTAATTTTAATTATATATATAAAAAAACTGAATAACAGTTAAAAACACAAGGCATGAGGATAAAATTTGTTTCAGAAAGAGTAAATTATGCCATTAAAAAATGACATTGAAAATATTGAGAATGATTTTGCTGCCATCTTATTTTATTCAACTTGCTGAAAAAATGACAGCTTCTGAAAAGCATCTTTGCGATTGTAAGACCAATTATTTTAATCATAAATCGGACCACATAAATTTAACTCAAAATTTGTTTTGTAACAAGTAATTGATCAAAAGATCGTCAATAATTTTAGACAGCCAATCTCCAGTGGCATGGGAAAACAATCCTGTTGTTTCAACAGTTCTCTCTTGTATTGGGGCTGTTTCATGATCGATATGAAGATTACTGTAACCTCGTAAAAACCCTTATCCGTAACGCGACGTGTATTAAAATAATATATATATATATGTATATAAAGAGTAAGTATAATTATCATTTTATCATGAGAAATTAATGCTTGAAATATGTGATTTATGTTAAATTAAAGTTATTGTGCTTAAGATTAATGGTTTAATTGTTAAAGAAATCAAATATGCAAAATCAGTGTTTTAAGGACTATATTCTTCTCGAGTTTTTGGTGAATTATTTGAGGACTTTAGGGTAATTTTTTGGTCAACCTTAAAGAATAAAAGTTGTTCATCTATGTGTTGACTAGATCTGTATAAAATTTTATAATATTTAGAACTATACATTAAGAGTTATACCAATTATAGTGAGGGTTGTTTTGAAATGCATTCTGCTGGAATTTTGGGAGAAGAATCTACCCAAATCTTGTGAGATTTATTTGATGCTGTTAGATTGATTTTTGAGCAAAACTTAAAGAATAAAAGTTGTTTTTCTATATGTGTACTAGCTCTCTATAAAATTTAATAATTTTTGGATATATATAGAAAGAGTTATGCACATTTTAGTATAGATGGGTTAAGAGGAAACACTCGCTGAAATTTTGGGAGGAAAAGAAATTTCGAATTTTTAAAAATGGAAATTTCCGAATTTTTATGAAAGAAAGTAGTTTTAGTTACTTTAATTAAGTTAATTAATGATTTTAATTAGTCTAAATTTTATATAGACACTTAAGCAAATGCAATAAATGAATTTAATGCCAACTCACCCATTATGGATTCCAAAGCGACCGACTTTCTTCATGACTCACCCATAACCTTTACACCTTATCCCATTAATTTTTAACACTTGTAGCTGAATGAAAGTAAGTATATATATATATATATAGTAAGTGTTAAAATAGGAGAAAAATTTTAGTAACCCGTAGGTACCGGAAATTGAGAGAGAAAAGGCAAGAAAGAAAAGAGAGGAAGAAAAACGCGAGGAGAGAAAGGAAAGGAAAGAAAAAGAGGAAGGAAAAAAGGAAAGAAAAAGAGCTAAAAAAAATATAATCAACCCTAAAAGAGGTAAGTAAGTTTCATTTTTTTTGGCTGATTAATGTCTTAAATTATTTTGTTTAAGTTATTTTGTTAGTGTTTATTTCATGGGTTGTAATAATTTTCAATGGTTATATGCTTGATGCTTAGGATAAATCTATGTATGGATGCCTTGTTGTGATGATTTATGATGTTATGATTTTTTGAAAAATGTCCAAGTATGTGGTGATGGGTTGGATTGAACTTGGACTAAATTTAAATGAACTAAAACATGTTTAAAATTGGCTTGGAATGAACTAATAAATTAGTGTTGATAAGGAGTAAATTCTGTCCGAATATTGGGGTGTATGTTCAAGGATTTTAGATCGATTTCTAGGTGAAACTTAAAGCATAAAAGTTGTTCATCTATGTTTCAACTAACTTCCTTTAAAATCTCTTGGTCATTGGATTCGTGTACAAAGAGTTACACCCAATTTAGTATGGATAGCTCTAGATAAACTACTATTAGGCAGATTGCTCCCTAAGTTTCAAAAATTTGTAATTAATTGTGTACTTGGTATTTAGACCTAATTTTTTGATATGTTATAAATAAATATGTCTAGTATCTAAAATAAAATGAGTAAGATTTAATTATGTTCTGAAATTAGAAAATTATTTACTCGATTAGGAGTTGCCCGGTAATAAACCCTAAAACCAAAAAAATTAGACTTTGACAAAATTAATAGGTTTGGAATAAACTAAATGAGCTTGGACTAAATAAAATGGAATTAAATAGAGTCAATGGACCTAAGATAAAGTTAATGGGCTCGGATTAAAGTAAATGAACTTGGACCTTCTTTTAAATATTAACGAAACTAATTAACAATATTAATGAGCGAATGTTGTGTTCCCACTACGAGTATCATGATTGGTATGTGAGCAACGAGTAAATTCGAGTGTGGGTTGGACCATGAGTGTGGAATGAGGATGAAGGGTTGGTACCCGAATTTGGTTGAATGTGATTAAATATGTCATCACGTGCATCATGTGCATAGTGGGTGGTTTAAGATAAGTCAATTGATTGAGAAATGGTTTATACATCTAGGTTTGATAAACTAACTGGAATAAATGGGTATTAGTAGTCCGAGTACTCTAGAATGTGTGCCTACACTATTAGATGATGGATTTTCGCTAATAGTAGTTACAACGAGGGATAATTCCGTTGTAGCGAGAAGATGATCCGATGATCATGCTGGATGAAATCAAGGCTGTGTGCTTGCACCTTGTTAGATGATGGATTCCCGCTAACGGTAGTTACAACGATGGATAATTTCGTTGTAGCGAGAAGGTGATCTGCGGACCACCCGGATGATAAATAGAGTAGACTTGGCTAATACCCGGGGTACCCGAGATTAAAATTTATGAGTATGGTGGAAAGTCAAAACAACATTGCATATCACGTGCATCACCCCGCTTATTGAGCTTCGGCTCACCCTGTTGTTATTTTTTTATGTCTTGACGGAAAAAGGACAAGTTGGTACGGATGCGGTGGCTCCTCCTAATCGGCTCATGTGAGGCATCATATATTAGTTTTTATTTTGTACGTAAATTTGGGGTATGGAGTTCGTGAGAAATTGAATATCGCCTGTAATGTTTTATTAATGTATTTAATTATGTTATGTAAATTTTATCTTGAGGAGTTATATACGTAATGTACTTGTTAAAGTCCTAAGAATATCATAAGAAAACTACTTAGAGTTTAGGGTATGTTAGCGTAACGCGCTTCGTCCGATACCTTACTTGGGTAGTAGAAATATGATCAGGGCGGGGGCACTACATTACTACTCTCCCGCTCTCGTTAACACGGAAACTAATTAAACATTTTCTCCGGGAGGTAACTTTGCAAGCTTTGGAGGTTGCCCAAGTACTCGTTCCACCCCACGTATGTAACGGTTGTCTTTCCGCAGACATAATGTGAGTATCCAATTAGTACTAAAAACTAAAAGATATGAAAAGTTTACAATTCACGATTACTATTCATGTACACCTATCTTCACCGTTCACTCCTCTAGGCCCTTGGATCATTTATCATCATTTATGGCTTTATTCACCTTATATTCACTTGCAAGTAGATTCAAATTATGCAAACTATTACATTTTAGTCCTCTCATTTTATTTATTTTTTAAAGTATATTATTATAATGGACTCTTATGATTTTTAAATAAGAGTAGTGTTGTTGGATATATATATATATTGGAATCCATTTTGTAATATTTTTTTATTTCAATTTGTTGATTTTAACATATTCCTTGCAATTTAATTTATTTATTTATGCTATGAACTCTTAATCTACTAGGTATGATCATAATGTATATATGCAAAAAAATATATATATATATATATATATATATATATATATATATATATATATATATATATATATATATATATATATTAAATCATTTGTTTTATTGAAAATTAGCTATGTATTTTTACACTTAATACCAATTATTTATTATTTTTCATATTCTGAAATCAAATTTTCTCATATAAAATAAGTTAAATAATAGTTTGGAAGAACTATCCAAATTATTCAAATACAACCTCTTATGCTAATATTATTGATTATTTTATTAGTAAATATATATAAATCAAATTTACATACTTTTAAAAAAAATGTTTTCCCATAAACATTAAATAAGGATAAGAAAACATTTATTAATTTTTATATAACTTTTTATATCAATTATTGTTTTATTTTTTTGACGCAATCTTGTGAAAAAATTATTAAAGCATTTTTTTTAACTTTTACGTTAAATCTTCTATTTATATTATTGTAAGTTTTCTTTTAAGAATAAATACATAAGAAAGGATAAATTATTTTTTTTAAACATATAATTTAAGAAAAATATATAAAATTAAATAATTTTATTCGATTAGTCCGACTTGCATCATAGCGCGAGCAACCAACTCGTCTCTACACTAATTCATATACTAAAATTATATCTTTCTACTATATTATACATATTATCTATTAGTGCTCTATGAAGCCAATAAAATGTAATTTGATATTAACTTTGATTTTTCTATTCGCATCAAAGGCAAATTAAATGCTCGTGATTTTGCCTTTACGAGTTTATTCCCTACAAGCTAATCCTGAGAATTTTCCATGTCAAAGAAAAGGCACTAAACTCATCACCGGTCAGGAGATTGGAAATAATTTTTTTTATATTTGTTAACAATAGAAGTAAACAAGTATTAAATTATTTATAACGCAAATAATCATTCAAGACAGTTTAGCCTAGTGTTCTAAGGCGCCAGGTTTAGGCCCTGGTCCGAAAGGGCGTGGGTTCAAATCCCACACCTGTCAGTTTTTCAGTTTCAGTTTTGATGTTCAAATCCCTTGCCTCTCTGCATGTTAATCCAGATTGTGAAGTAAGTACTTCCAGAGACACTGGGCTTGATGTCCATAGTTCTCCATAATCATGAAACGGAGAGTCTACCCTGTCCTACTCCATCAATGTTTTTCCATTATCATTGCAGACAAGCCTGTGGTGCAATTACTTGCCACCCTTATTTCTCTGTTACTAGTAGTGCATGGCAAAATCAGTCCAGCCAATAGAGTTCACCACCAGTAGTGAATGTCAGGGCAGAGAGAGAGTACATTTCGCGAACAGGGAACAAAGCATTACGTGCTTGCGATCATAAGTAATCAAAGTTGTTAAGTCAAAAAAAAAAAAAAGGCAAAGGAATAAATATAGATCCTTTTTTTATTCGTTCTTTTAATATTTCTAACTGTCATATATCGCATCCTGCTTTCAAAACAAAGAAAAAGAAGCAGAATTCTTTTTTCTTCAGTTATTATGGCTGAATATCTGTTCCTGCCATTTTCTTATAGTGAACAGGTACAGCAGCTAGAAATAACGCAACCACATCTTTCCAAAAAATATTAATACAGCATAATAATTAATAATTTTTTTGAACTGGGTGAAAAATCAAAAGAGAGAGTGTTTGTTAATTTACGGACCAGTTGAAGGCCCAAACATACCCAATAGGCTATAGACATCATAAAATTAAATTCACATTAATTAGTTTTTTTTTTAATAAAAAAAGGTTATTTCACTATTTTGACACAATAAGCTAAAATTTGAAAATTGATAAAAATTATCTTTGAGAATGTCTCTAAACTATAGCAATCCTTTTGGAAGTATTTGCTTTTATATTATTTTTATGATTTAATTTATTTCTCATTCACCCATCTTATCTTTCACTAGTCATAGATTGTGCCCTTCGCATGAGTTGGAGCAAGACGTTCTAAACACAATGTCTTTAATACTCTAAATAGTACAGCCCAAACAAATGAACTCGAGTTTAAATAAAAAGTCAACCCACTTGTTGGCAAAATTTTCCCTTAAAAAACCGCATCGCTACTCTACCATACGCAACATTCTCTTCTCGTACGGGCTGAGTTTAAGTCGCTACTTTGCCAGAATATAAGGGCTTGTTAAGAACGTCTTAAATGCAGTGTCTTTAATACTTTAAATAATACGTCCCCAACAAATGAACTAGAGAAGTGGGCCCTACCCTGCTCTCTCTTCTATAAGTAAGACCTTCGTATTTTAAAACGCCCCGTTTTGGTAAAGTTGTTTCCTTCTCTTCTCCTAAGTTTCTTTCATCCACAACCCCTAAAATTATCTCCATCGTTTTGTGCTGCGTTCGACTTCTTCTTCCCGTTCTGATTTAATCGAATAGAACTCCTAATTGTCAAGCCAGGTAAGCTATGTATTATTTCTTCTGCTTAATTTCTCTCTCTGTATATTATTATATCTGTTAATAAAGAATTTGTTAAAAATAATCTTTCTTTTTCTAATTTGTTAAAAATAATCTTTCTAATCTTTTTTTCTAATTTGTTAAAAATAATCTTTCTTTTTCTAATTTGTTAAAAATAATCTTTCTTTTTCTAATTAATCTAATTTCCGATGCAGGGTCAAAAAATGGTTAGACCAAGTGATCCATTTTGGATTCATGTTGAGGAGTTGGATGATGGTCATTTGCGGTGTGAATTTTGTGGGGATAGATTCGCGGCTGGAATTTCGATTTCAAGGGTCAAATATCATTTGGCAGGTGTTGAAGGACGTGGTATCAAAATCTGCGCTCGAGTACCAAGAGATGTTCAGGAACAAGCCTTTCAAGCTATTCAGGAAAAACCTAAAAGCAGTAACGAGGTTAGTAATATTATCTCAACTTCTTCTGGGAAACCAAATGATGAGGTTGTTGAAATAGGGGATGCAGTTTCGAAATCTGATAAAGTGCCCAGACTTGGTCTGGATAGTAGGATTATTAGAAAACGGGAAATTGACAAGAAATATAGACAGCAAAAAAAAGAAAAAAATGAAAGAGATTGAAACTATTGAAACACTTCAAGTTAAAAGTGAGGAATTACGCCAGCAGAAAATTCTATTGGAAGAACAAGTTGAAGCTCTAAAGAAAGTACTCGACGACAACTTAAAAGTGGAATTGCGTGAACGTTTCTTACGACAACGAAAAGATTTCAGCTCTGAGTTGCTTGGGAATGTCTCACATGAGACTATAGAAGATGTATCGCAAGAATCAGATCCAGTGGGTCTAGCAATTGGAAGAAGTCGGGATCGGATCTGTTCTCAATCAGCGGGGGATGATGTCTTAGTGAATGAGGTAGAGAACATTGTTAGAGAATTACTGCATCCTGTAGTGAGAGGGTGCTCTCGTGATGATCCTCAATGTAATGTAGGTGAGACTAGAAGAGATGATTTACCGACAACAACAGAGCTAGTGGGCCAAGCCTTTGAAGGAAATAAGACTGCTTCACCAAAAACAACAGAGGTAGTGAGCCAAGCTTTTGAAGAAAATAAGAAAGCTATCTGGTCTTGGTTGATGGATGATGATGTCCCAAGCATTGGCATTTACGGCATGGGAGGGGTGGGTAAAACCCGATTGGCGCAACATATCTTCAATCAGCTTCATGAGCAAGAAGACCCTACTTGTAAGGTTTATTGGATTACTGTGTCACAAGATTTTAGCTTTTATAGGTTGCAGAATCTTATTGCAAACCGTGCTGGTTTAGATCTTTCAAGTGAAGATGACAAGCTGCTCCGAGCTGTCAAACTGTCAAAACGTTTAAAGAATGAACAGAAATGGGTTCTCATTCTAGATGATTTGTGGGACTATTTTGATCCGGAGGAGGCTGGAATTCCTATCCACATGAAGGGTTGTAAATTAATTCTTACAACTCGTTCACTTCAAGTTTGTCGAAGGGTGGGCTGCAAAAAGAAAATCCAAGTGAAGCCTCTGTGTGAGGGTGAAGCCTGGACTTTGTTCATGGAAAAACTAGGGCCTGATGTAGCACTTTCTCCAGAAGCCGAACAGATAGCGAAATGTATTGTCAGGGAATGTGCTGGTTTGCCGCTTGGAATTATCACAATGGCTAGAAGCATGTGGGATGTGGATGACATATGTGAGTGGAGGAATGCTTTGGCAGAGTTAAAAGTATCAAAATTTAGGCCAGATGACGTGGACATGGAACTATTCCGTGTATTGAGATTTAGCTATACTCACTTAAAAGACAAATCGTTACAACAATGCTTCTTATGCTGTACATTATTTCCTGAAGGCCATCTCATTGAGAGGGAGAAGCTGTTAGCGTTATTGAGCGCTCAAGGAATAGTGAATGGAAAGGATAACTATGATAAGGGTCATGTGATGCTTAATAAACTAGAAAACGTCTGCTTATTGGAAAGTTGTGTAGATAGTAATGGTTTGAAGTGTGTCAAGATGCACAACTTGATTAGGGACATGGCCATCCAAATACAGCAAGAGAATTCTTGGGTCTCAGTGAAAGCCAATGCACAATAAAAAGAATTGCCAGATGCTGAGAAGTCAGACTGAGGATCTAATGAGAGTTTTATCAGCGAGAAAACTGCAATTTACAGTAAGCCTTCATCCTCATTCATCTTCATCGATCCTTTCTTTCCTCTTTCTTGCTGTCTCTTAATTCTGAATTTTCCTTTCAGTTACTCAGGGTGCGTAGCCTCCAACAACTGGCTTTATCCCAGCGCTGTCTCTTGCTCTTGCTGCAACTTTTTTTTTTCCTTTTTTTCCCCTTTTTTTTCCTTTTTTTCTTTTTTCTCCCTCTCTCTCTCTCTCTGTTTTTTTTTTACATTACTGGTTTGCCGCTTTGAATTATTTCAATGGCTAGAAGCATGAGGGATGTGCATGACATATGTGAGTGGAGGAATGCTTGGGAAGGGTTAAAAGAATCAAAAGTTAGGCAAGATGACATGGACGTTGAAATATTCCGTGCATTGAGATTTAGCTATACTCACTTAAAAGAAAAATCGTTACAACAATGCTTCTTATGCTGTACATTATTTCCTAAAGGCCATCTCATTGAGAGGGAGAAGTTGTTATATTTATTGATCGCTCAAGGGATAGTAAATGGAAAGGATAACTATGATAAGGGGCATTTAATTCTTTATAAACTGGAAAATGTCTGCTTATTGGAAAGTTGTGTAGATAGTAATGGTTCGAAGTGTGTCAAGATGCATAACTTGATTGGGCACATGGCCATCCAAATACAGCAGGAGAATTCTCTAGTCTCAGTTAAAGCTAATACATAATAAAAAGGATTGCCAGATGCTGAGAAGTCGGACCAAGGATTTAGTGAGAGTTTTATCAGCTAGAAAACTGCAATTAACAGTAAGTCTTCATCCTCATTCATCTTCATTGTTCTGTTATTTCCTCTTTCTGACTGTCTCTTAATTCTGAATTTTCCTTACAGTTAAACTTTTAATTACTCTCAATCCCTCTCTAATATCTGAAACATCCCATGATTGATATATATTCATTTACTTGGTTTTGCTTTTAATGTCAGTTTTGTTTTGCTTTGTTATGATTGGTTCATTATGTGGGACAGATATGAGGTCTCTGTTCTACGAAGGATTTGAGGCGAGTTAGGGTTTATTGTTTGTGAAATTAGGGTAGATTAGGAAGAAATAAGGAAAAATTAGGCTGTGAACTGTAATTTGCATCACTGTAGCAGCAGAATAAGAAAACAAGAAAGAAGAGAAAATAGAAGAACGAGAACACAGAAGAAATCTTGGCACTAAGCCTTCAAAATGACTCTCGAACTCAATTTATTGCGTAACTCAACTCAGCAGAAAAGTAAAATTTAGCATCTCTATCAATAGAGATCGAAATGAGAAGTGATTTGGAGGAAAATTCACTCTACTTTCATCATAAATCACTAGGATATATATACAAGAGTATTCATAAATTAAATCCCTACACATAGCAATATTCCTTAATTACATCCTACATTAAAGCAATTTCCTA